GCATGGAGGGAAGCATTGCGAGTTCATCCATCGCGCCATCGCGCCTTCAATTTTGCAGGTGCAGCACGGACATCCATCAAGCACGAATAGTTGTATCTCTGCACCGTCATTGACGCGCGTCTTGGCCCCTCCTCTATTTCATTCGTCTTATTTGCGGTGGTGCTTTAAGGGCAACGTGAGCAACACAGCTGAAAAGGGATGGTAATCGGGCCCCATTTTTTGAAATTTTCTCCCTAACCCGAGCGACGCTTCAATGGCAGCTTAAGGCGAAGTATGCGAGTTCACGCCTCGCGGCATCGCGCCTTCAATTTTGCAGACGCAACACGGACATCCATCAAGTACGAATAGTCGTATCTCTGCGCCGTCATCATCGCGCGTCCTTTCCATCGCTCTATTTCCATGCTGTGGTGGTTCCGTTTGTCTCATTTGTAATGTGCTTCAAGGGCTCCCATCTAAAACTCTAATTAAGTAAAAATCTTTGAATTTCTTTTTATGTCTTCAAGAAAAACCAATGAAACATTTTCATGCAATTTAGTCGGATTTGTTTTCAGTATCACTGTCAACGATGTAGGCGAAGATAAGCGAAACTATTCGGGCCTCGTTGTTTAATTTCTCTCCCAAATCTGAGCTTCTCAATGAAGAATGCTTTTAAGGTTTCAAATTTTACCGTATTTTACTTTTGAACGACGCTCGGTTTGCGTTCATGCCCTTTGATCTCGTGTAACTGTCAGAAATTCCACGTAGAATGTGACTTGAGATTCTGTTGAAAAAGTCAAAATAATAGAAAATTTTGAAATTTCACGGTCGAGACATGTGTTTTGTCGAAACGTCTGTCCTTTTGCCAATCTCACAAATCGATTACAACCGGCTTGAAAAATCAAAGTTGAACAGCGTATCTATGAAAAAACCACTATGTTCAGGACACATTATACAGGACATGCTCATTATACTGATGGAGAAAGCTGATTGACGGTTGACGATAAATGAAAGGGATAAAATTTATCAAGTATATAGGCATTATGATATGTTTTTAAACGCAAGAATTTTCCAATAAAATTACGAATTTTGATGTTTACTCTGTCTCTGTATAAAAAGATTCTTCCTTCTCCCATTAAGTTTGGTTTCTAAAAAAAATTCTCAATTGTGACATTGCAACTTACTGATCTTTATTTTATCCAAAAAGAATTGATTGGATGTTTTTCTTGGAATTTTTAGCGACTTTTCTACACTCATTCTCAGAAATTTGAAGATAGTATTTTAATTTGTTTTCTTTTGGAAACATAAAACATTAATGGATACTTTCACACGCTGCAAAAACACGGAACTAGTAGTATTATTACTTTAAAATTAGTCTTCGAGCATTTTCATGAAAGTAATATCGGAGGAATATCTAAAAAATATGAAATTTAGGATGCAATTTTTAAAAATATTTAAAAAATACTTTTTTGAAGAAAAACGAAGACTCCGAGTTAAATAATAATTTAAATAATTCTGATAAAATTACTTTTTCCTTTTAAAAAATAATGTCAAACGCCTTGAAAAATATCACGTAACAATATTTTTAAAAAAAAATTTCGATAAATATTCGAAAATACGTTAGAAATATTTTTGGTTCACGTACGTCATCGCCGCTGTGCGGAGTCCGTATCGTCCCCGGGGACCAAATATTCGAGCTCGCCCCGGTATATTTAACCGTGGAGAAGATGTTTGTTAAGCTAAATACACGTCGAGCTGCCCCCCGGGGGGGGGGGGGG